GACGTGGCTGCATGAAAAGCCTGGAAAATCCTTTAGTAGGGATATCCTTTTTAGGTGTAGGAGATTTCGTAGGGAGTAGGGGGGGGCACGTCAATTATGCCAACCATTCCTGTGTCCGGCTGATGCGAACGCGTTTTAGCAGCAGCTGATTGCCTAATTATGCTTCATATGCACTTTTTTTTTTTGTGGATTCATCATTTTGAGATGATTACGTCCTGCTAATCCCTTCAACATCCTGTCGCATGGTGATGGCCGCGCATTGCATGGGAACTGCGGAGGAGTGCTAGTGTATCCATGTCGCCCGTTCGGAGGAAGTTTAAGCTGAGGTGTGAGACAGTCTCCGAGATTGGAGTTTTTGCAAAAGAAAATAAGGATTTTATCATTGTCATATCGTGGACGTGGAATTAATTTATTTATCGGTTTGTTATGTCCATAATTCCAAAACATACGAATCCACATCACAAATACAAAGTAGTGTAACACATGTAACACGCGTAATTAACGAGAGACTTGATGCAGTAGTGGTTGAGCATTCAACTTGCATGATATACATGTATGTATAGTATATAGTATTATTTCGCACGTACATGTCTTTATCTCACGAAACATGTGTACGCAAACGTGTAAACAGTTCCGACAAGATGAAGCATCCTATCATGAACATGATAAGCTACTTTTACGAGCTTAAACAACGTAGATGTACGTACGCACGAAAAGCTTGTTAGTTAGGCAACGGCACAAGCTGACCGCCTTTACAACGTCCCTTTTTTATTTCCTTCAATTATTCCGTGGATTAGAGTTGGAGGCTTGAGAAAACCGGCTACCTAGCTAGCTAGCTTGCCGGCACTTTGAGAATGGACACGACGACAGGCTGCTAGCTGGCACAGCTCGCTTAGCTTAATTGTAATCATCATTTTCATATACAATGCACAATGCAGGCGTATGCACGTGTGCCGTGTGCGCCGTCTGTTTTTTTTTTCTTTTATGAAATCCCATGGAAGGGAAGAGCAGGCAATGCAATGCAGTGTCGGCAGGAGGGCTGCCATGCAGAGAGAGAGATCCACCCACAAACAATGCAATGAATGAATATTCCAACTCGTCCTGAATCGGGGCCTGTGAATAAATCGTTTCTCCTCTCTGGGAGTCTTGATAATTTGAAGAAATCCATGGTGAATTGAATTCAACATATATATGGAACTACCTAGCTACCAGGTTTTGGTCAAAACACATTGAGATATATGGCTAGAAAACCCTACGAAAACCTGTAATATATATACACCACAACCGTACGCCGATGGAGTCCAGGTGTTAATCTTTATTCTCTTTTTATCTTTGCCGCCAATCTATAGCCTTTTCGCTTGGTTGCATTTGGCTTATAAGCCATGTCTTATCAGCCAATAAACAGTATTTTTTTCTCACATCAAGTCAGTCAACAATACTTTCAGTCATAGCTTATAAGACAAAAAGTTTGACCGTCTTTGTGTTAAAGTAGACAAAATATGAGACGCCTTAACGGCACACTAGAGTGAATGAAGATGCACACTAGGAGAGGACACGAGAGAATCTAACAGCTGTGCTCCGTACTCCACGAGAGTACGAGCATATCTGCACATGAGGTACAACAAGCCCCGCTGCACTAGCACTGGTTTCCTCACGTGTCGAAACCACGTGAACAGTGAGCTCCAGATCCAGCGCCGACGGCCTTCCTTCGTTCGCCCGCGAGAGCGACAGCGCCCGGCGGGGCCGCCGCGCGACGTGCGCTCGACAGCAAGGACAGGCGCCCATTATTCCATTAACCGCGGCGTGTACGGACTACAGACGCCACGCCGCGCCCGCCGTGACCCCGGCAAGGCTCAAGAGTCAAGGCCCTCACGCGCACGATCGCGGCCAGGCCCGCCGCTGTCTCTCTCGCCATCCAGGGAGCACCGGCATGCCGCCCGCACGCGCCGCTGGGTGCTCCGTCTCCATGACAGCCGGAGCCCGCGCCGACAGCGTGGCGTCGGGGCCACGTGTGCGCGCCGCGGCTTTGTGCTGCGGACTGCGAAAGCGGAAGCGGAAGCTTCGTCGTCGGGTGCGTCCGTGCGTGCGTGCGCGCGGTGAGCGAGGCCTACCACGCCCACATGGCCACACCCATGACCAGGTGCCCACCCATGCGATCCGATCCAGCGGAGCACAGCGTTCGGCGCTTCGTGCCACCTTCCCGTCGCCTGGCCCCGTGCCACCCGCCGATACAGACTCCTGACGCCCAGGACGCTAGCTGTCCTGTCCGGCGCAGCCCTTCACGGACGGCAGAGCGTGCGCGCCGCGGCCACGTCGTGCGGTGCGGGGGAGGGGAGCGATAGCCTGCCTGCTCCCGCCATTATAAAAGGCCTCGAGGTAGTCGATCGCAGCAGCAGTCGCAGTCTCACTCTCACACATCACGAGCTATCTCGAGCTCCAATTACTCTGCCAGCCAAGCTACGTGTTCCCACCCTTGTCTTTGCTGCTTGAGATGGAAGCGTACGCGGCAATGGCGTCGCCGCCGCCCACGAAAGCCGCCATGGGCGGCGTGGACAAGCTCAGCTACGAGATCTTCTCCCTGCTCGAGAGCAAGTTCCTCTTCGGCGCCGGCACGCCGGCGCGGGCGCTTCTGGACGGCGGGCGCGTGCGGGTGCTGGCGATCGACGGCTGCGGCAGCACGGGCGCCGAGGACGCGCTCCTGGCCGCCGCCGCGCTCGCGAGGCTCGAGGCCGGGCTGCGCGACCACAAGGGCGACACCGACGCGCGCGTGGCCGACTTCTTCGACCTCTCGGCGGGCGCCGGCGCGGGCGGAGTGCTCGCGGCGATGCTGTTCCTGAGGGGCGCCGACGGCCGGCCGCGGTACACGGCCGACGAGGCGCTCGCGTTCGTGGCTGGGAGCGTCTGCGGCGGGAAGAAAGGCGGCTGGGGAGGCCGGCGCTGGCCTCGGTGGGCGAAGCTGTTCCGCGGCGCGCGGGCTGGCGACGACCGGTCGTTCCGCCGCGTGTTCGGCGACGCGACGCTCAGGGACACCGTGGCGCCGCTCCTCGTGCCGTGCTACGACCTCGCCACGGCTGCGCCCTTCGTGTTCTCGCGCGCCGACGCCGTCGAGAGCGACAGCTTCGATTTCCGCCTCCGCGACGTGTGCGCCGCCACGTGCGCCGCGGGCGGCGCGCACGCGAGCGTGGCGTCGGTCGATGGCGCCACGGCCATCGCCGCCGCGTCCGGGGGAGTGGCGGCCATGGGCAACCCGGCCGCGGCCGCCATCACGCACGTGCTCCACAACAAGCAGGAGTTCCCCCTCGCCACCGGCGTCGAAGACCTCCTCGTGCTCTCCATCGGCGCCGGTGCCTCCTCGGCCACCGTGTCCGTGTGCGACGGGTCGAGCACGCCCATGCCCACGCGTTCTCCGTCGCCGCGGGAGCTGGCGCGCGTAACCGCCGAGGGCGTCGCGGACATGGTGGACGAGTCAGTGGCCATGGCGTTCGGGCTCGCGTGCGGAAGCAACTACGTGCGCATCCAGGCCGGCAAGGCGCCGGCGCCGCTCCACGCGGCCACCGCATCCGCGGCAGCGGGAGCGATGCTTGCTCAGCGGAACGTGGAGTCGGTGCTGTTCCGGGGGCGGAGGCTGTCGGAGCGGACGAACGCCGAGAAGGTGGACGCGCTGGCCGCGGAGCTGGTCAAGGAGCAGGAGCGGCGGCGGCGCAGCCCGCTTCCGAACGTGGCCATCAAGCAGGTGGCCACGCCGCGGCTGTCGTCGGCGACCACGACGTCGTCGGGCACCGCGACGACAAGGACCGCGTCGACGATGCCGTCGCCGGCGTCGTGGGATTCTCGCCGATAGCCGATAGCTGAGTTAATCAGGCCGTGACGCGATGACTATTTTTTAGTTTTCAAACACATGTCACTAACCAGGGTAGAGCAGTGGCGTGTGTGTTCTTTTGGATAACGGGCCACCGACGTGTGGGCCGCAAGTTTGAAAATGTACTCATTTTCATACACGAACGTGTCTTGCAACAGCATGTCTGGCACCATCCAAGTATTCCCTCAAACAACAACAAAAAATGTCTCTCCGGGAAGCAATTACACTTGCTTGATACTTTATGTTACAGCATTGCTAATGATACAGTGAGTTGATTGTTGCATAATGTTGTCATGCCATTTATCTAGAGGCATGATTAGTAATCACTCAAGTTTGATATATCGAGTTGGCTATAAGAGTAGCAATTAGGTTAAAGATATATATATTTTTAATTTTCTCCTTTCTCTTTGCTTTGCATTTACTCCGTTTGATTTGTAGCACGTGTAGAGGTATGCACCTCAGTCCTCAGCTCCTGCTGTCCTGCATAGGATCCCAACCCTCTCTCTGTTTCTTTTCTTGCCTCTCTCTCCTCTGGCAAAAGTTATTTCCTCACAGAATTACAGCAAACAACCTATTCGTTTGGTCGTAAACGATTGTGGATTATAAGCTAGAACAATATTTTTCTCTCACACAAAACCAACCAACAGTAATAATCCACGATCGTTTAGCCGAAACGAACAGGCTGAAAGGTTTTACAGTTTGGTTCACAGCTTTAGGATGAAATCCAGTTACTAGGCGAAATCTCCCCAATTACATTTTGACGACAGAGCAGCGGCAGCCGGCAGGCAGCAGCACGCGCGTCTAGCTGAAACCTGCGACACCATTCAGGGCCTCGAGGCAACCGGGCTGGGCTTGGTGCCTCTTGGGCCTCGTAACGTCTGGCGATTTTGGTGGCCCATCCGAGTCCTTTTAGGTGTTTTACTAATTGCGCTAAAGTATGTTCTTGTTCTTGCGACACAAGTTGGTGACGAACTAGAACTCCGAAATCTCTCTAATAAAATCTTTTACCTGTGTTCCCCTCCACCCTCGCTCTCTGGACTCCCGATACGAAATCCGTAGGCACCACCGGCGGCGATCGCACGGGCGGCGTCGGGAACTCGGGATACAGCAGAAACCCTAACCCTCGCCCCATCCTCGCGCGATGTCGGCCACCGCCGTCGCGCCGATCCCTCCCGCCGCGGCCTTCCCGGTGGCGGCCCCGCCGTCGTACGCGGCCGCCTTCTCCGCCGCCGCCGCGCCTGCCGACGGCCACGACGGCGACCTCTACTGTCACTACAAGTCGCTCCAGCGCCACCTCGAGTTCGTCGAGATCCAGGAGGACTACGTCAAGGACGAGCTCAGGAACCTCAGGCGCGAGGAGCTGCGCGGCGCGGAGGAGGTGAAGCGGTGCCGGGCGACGCCGCTCGAGATCGGCCAGTTCACGGAGATGGTCGACGCCGACCACGGCATCGTGGCGCCCACCACCACCGGCGGCAGCTTCTACGTGCGGGTCCTCAGCACCATCGGACGCGAGCTGCTCAAGCCCTCGGCGTCCGTCGCGCTGCACCGCCACTCCCACGCGCTCGTCGACGTGCTGCCGCCCGAGGCCGACTCCAGCATTTCGCTGCTCGGCTCGTCGGAGAAGCCCAACGTCACCTACAGTGTGAGTTCCTGCTGTAATTGCCCTCATCTCAACCGTGCCATGGTTAATTTGTTGTGTTGTATCCATCTTAGGCAGCTTTATTGTTGGTTTTGAATTTTAAATGTATCGTGAGTTCATTCAGCTGCTTGGAATATAACAGTTGCAGTAGGATTCTCACATAATACTAGGACTTCGAAAACAATATAAACTTTGCATGTTATATGAGTTTTTATTTAAGTCAAATTAATTTTGTTCAGTGATTAAGTTTTTTTTCTCTGTCTTATTGTGCTAACATATGCTTGTCAATCAGAATTGTTTAAAAAAAGTTTGATAAATTTGGTTAGATTTTGAAGTTTCCCTTGGTCATTCTAACTGTAATAAAAACACGGCAAATTTTTTTGCTTATTCTAGCAGTTTTTCTTACTCTTACAGAATATAAAATCTATAATGTTCTGCTTCTTTATTTTTGTGTTCAGGATATTGGTGGATGTGACATTCAAAAGCAAGAAATCAGGGAAGCTGTCGAGTTACCGTTGACACATCATGAGTTGTACAAGCAGATTGGTATTGATCCACCAAGAGGTGTGCTTCTGTATGGTCCTCCAGGTACTGGCAAGACCATGCTTGCCAAAGCTGTGGCACATCACACAACTGCTGCTTTTATCAGAGTAGTTGGTTCAGAGTTCGTGCAGAAGTACTTGGGTGAGGTAAGTTGGGGCGATTGTACTTAGAATTGGTGCCCTTGCAATTTGTTGCCAAATTACACACAACACCCTGCCATTTGTAGTTGTGAAACATTCTACATGTATATATGTTTGTTTATGTTCCAGTGCTGAGTGCTTTGTGGTAAAAGCCATATATGTGTTTAAATACTGCTTAAACATATGAAAAAATGCTCTAAAAAGGTATGTGAAAAAAGGCTGCCAAATAAAACAGATGGATATCATAGTGCTTTCTGCTATGCAGAAGTGAAACCAGTGAGCAGAAAGGTGTCGAAGAGGGAGTTAGGTGTTTGGTGTATGCTTGTTGGGGATAAAATATATCTCCTTTTGGACTACAGGAACCTGGTTTCATGTAGCTTCATGACATAAGTGCATAACTATGCCTAGTATAGTGGTGCTGTTTCAATATGTGGCCAATGAGTGTAATCTGTGGTGTATGGTGGGAGCCTTGGCTTTACATGAGTTCCTTGCTAGGTTGTTGGTCCTAGATAACTAGTTCTTTAGTTGTTTGAGCCTACTGGTCGTGTTTCCCTAGTTCATTTTCTAAAGTGCCATTTTGCCTAAACTCCGTGGGGGTACCTTGCAGGGTTTCTTACTTCTCTTCCTTTTGTATTTATTTATTCTTCTTCTTAATGAAATGACAAAGCTCTCCTGCGTAGTTTGAAAAGAAAAAAATGGCATAACTATGGTATACCTGTGAATAGTCCAAACAACTACCTTTCTATTTGTATATTGTCTTTACATTTACCATGGAATGCATCTTTTGTGATGCATATGACTAAAAATGGTTATGTGGCTTTACATTTTGCATAGAAATTATCTTCTGGTGGCACACATGACAACATCTCTTGCTTAACTATCTGTGGTATTAGGTTCTTATATGGTTCCATAAGAATATGTGCCATTTGTACTTTTTGGGTGTTCCAGATTTATTGGTTCTGTTCCTGGTGCCTTATGTTCTTTGAATTCCTTTTCAGGGTCCTCGGATGGTTCGAGATGTATTCCGTTTGGCTAAGGAGAATGCCCCTGCAATCATATTTATTGACGAGGTTGATGCTATAGCCACTGCACGTTTTGATGCTCAGACAGGTGCTGACCGAGAAGTTCAGCGCATTCTGATGGAGCTACTTAATCAGGTAAAGGGGGCTTTTGGATCGTTGTGGTTTTCCTAGAAATTATAATAGTTTTGCCATTTTATGTTACACAAAACCCTGTATTTCAAAGGAAACTTTTTTGAGACCAAGAAATATAAGAAAAGGCTCTGTTTTGGAATTGAAATTGTAAAGCCCTATCTTCACCCCGACATGCTAAGTTATTTTATGTTCTGAGAGAAGTAGAAACTATAATATTATAAAAATGATAACTGAGGTCTTGGAAGGTTAACTTCGGCAGATTGTTAGGTTGGAAATTCTTAGATGCTGGAGCGTTCCTGTTTTTTGTAATAATCTGCCTGTGTTTATTGCAGATGGATGGATTTGATCAAACAGTAAATGTGAAGGTTATAATGGCAACTAATAGGGCAGATACTTTGGATCCTGCTCTGTTGCGTCCAGGTAGGCTTGACAGGAAAATTGAGTTCCCTCTTCCTGATCGGGTGGCAGAAGAGGCTTGTGTTCCAAGTAAGTTGTCTGTTTGTGTGAACTAACTGATAGGCATTTTATATTTCGTTCTTGTGAAGTAACACAACTTGCATATTAATTTACTGAAGTACCGTATAATATATTGCATGCTTGGTATTTGATTTTTGTTTATTCACATATGATGAAACTTTGATGGATTGCTTCAGGTATTGCTATTAAGGTCCTTTTCATCTTGTACAAATAGCTATTGAGCTGCGCAGATTTCTTTATTTGGTAATTAATTAAAATTTTCAACCATGCCATACTGCATACCAATTGCTAACTTGTTCTGCACAGATGCACATGCTCAATTGTGATATGGTCATATGTTCTGTCAAGGATTTGCGATCAGTGCAAACTAAATTGTTTTCTTTTTATATGTTTTGGTTTTTCATATTTGTTGCTGGGATCATATTTTTTCTCAACTGTTCGCTGGCTGCTGTTTCAATTCAGGTCTGCACTGCCAAGATGAATTTGAGTGACGAGGTTGATTTGGAAGATTATGTTTGCAGACCAGATAAGATCAGTGCTGCTGATGTGAGTCTACTTTCCTTACGAGGATTCAGTATAATTAAATAATTTGCATTTAAACTACTGGGATACTGTCTGCATTGGGTCATTACTTGTATGTTATCTCAAAAAAGCACCTCCTGCTGCGTAGGCTAATACACTTTAGGATTTTATTTCCGCACACTGCGAACTTGAACACTTGGGTGATCTTTAATAGGAATGGATAAAATACATGGAACATCCATGCAATCATGCTTCTTGTTACGTTCTCGTGTTACCTTGATAGTGATGCACACAGCCCAATGATTTGTTCTATTGGTTAAGTGGCTTCATCTGAATTACCTGTCTCTAAATAGGACGAGGCATGTGAGTAGCTAATTGTTTTGTGATGTCCCTACTGTCCACTTAGCAAGTTAGCAAACATGGCTTACTGAGCAAATATCATAGGTTAATATCATTTGTAATGACAGATTTTACCAGCTCATTATTGCACTAGATTTAGTTGTGGCAGAGTTTTGAACTTAAAGTTAACAACCAAGAGATTTATAGCTTTAGGCCTTGTTTGGATGCACATGTATTCATCTCAATCCACATGTGTTGAAGTGGGATTGGAGTGGAATTAAACTAAGTTTCATTCCATTCCACTTCAATACATATGGATTGAGGTGAATACACATGCATCCAAACAAGCCCTTAAGTGGATCTACAAGTCTTGTCATCTTGGTTTTGTGCTTCAAATCGCCACATCGTTTTCAATTTTCATTATGTAAAACAACAAGAGCGCTTGTTATAAATGAGGAACACTTGTATGCTCAAGATTATGCACAAAATGGGTATTTGATACTAGGTTACCAAAATAATATAGTGGGTTATGCACCAAATTACATGGTGATTTTTTTTTCAAAAAAACAAATTTCTTGTACTAATAGTAATTAGATAGCCTTGTTGCAAATTAGCTTATTCTCTTTTGGGCTGAGGTAAAAAAAAAAACTTAGATGGCTATTTTTGACTCTTGGTGTGGTAATACACAGTAGACCATACATTTCTCCTTTCCTTGTAGACGTAGATACAATTTACAAGTTATACTGTTCTCCTTTTGACCCTTTATTTTTATATACTCGTGGACCTATCTCTTTTTCAGATTGCTGCAATATGCCAAGAAGCTGGCATGCATGCCGTCAGGAAAAACCGGTACGTGATCCTGCCCAAGGACTTTGAGAAGGGCTACAGGACCAATGTGAAGAAGCCCGAGACAGACTTCGACTTCTACAAGTGAAGAAAGCACCAGTGTTGTTAATGCTTTTTTAAAAAAATGCAAGCGCTCGTTGTCAATATACTAACAAACTGGGACATGCCATGTTGGATGTTAAGCGACAATGACTACAATTCAAACGGCATAATACCTTCTGCTGTTTGCTAGTGTGACATTGTGACAAATGCACCTAACTATAGGTTGCATGGATATGTCATCTGTGGTAAATCTTTTCTAACGATTTTCTTGTAATTGAGTTGAGCCTGTGACACTTTCCTCTCTTTGAAGTTGAAGCGGGGAGCAATTTGTTATGCTCACATTATTCTGTCCAACAACTGACAATCCTTTGGCGTGTACGTGCGTGCATTTCAGTGCTAGCTGATTGGAAACAAATAAATGATGGTTCCGATGTGTAGTAATGACTATATTTCAGCTGTTTGACAGGAACGATCGATGTTGAAGACTATACGAACGGTAATGCTCCCGACGGACGGACGCCTCACTCTGCGCGCTCCTTATCACACGCTTCCTCCTCTTATTCTTATCCCTTTTGCGCTCATGATCTGCCCCACCCGACGTGCGGCCATGGCTGCCTCCCTAGCCGGCTGCGGCGCCCTCACCCACCCCGGTGTGCGACCTTCCCCAACCGACGTCCTCTTTCCCCACCTCGGCATCCTCCTCCCCACCCCGGCAGCTCCTTCCCCACCCTGGCGGCACCCCACCTCCCACCCCGACGTCTTCACCTACCGGGAGCGTCCAACGCCTGTGGATTCGGTGGCCCTCTCCTCTACCCAAGTGAGATCCATGGTGGTGACGCGGCGGTGTTGTAGGGGAGTCGGCGGCTCTCCCCCACCTCGGCGCGGCGCCCTCTCACCCCAGCGACCGAGCTCCCCCACCCCGGCGGCCATGGCGCTCCCTGGCCCCATCCCCCACCGTCGTCGCCGAGCCAAGCCCGGTGCCGTCAGTGCTGGTGGTGGTAGTGCTCGCGCGTGCCGCTGATAGTGGTGGTGGTGGGTGGTGCTCACGCTCGCCGCTCGCCGCCGGCTCTCACCCCGACGGCTGGAATCGATCGACCCAGGTCTCTCTTCTCCTATGTTGCAAATGTACATTTCAATTGTTTCAGACGTTTCAGAGGCATGTTGCAATCATTTCATATGGATGTTGCAAAAGTAGGTCGGGGATGTTGCAACTGTTTCAGAGACATGTTGCAAACGTTTGTTTAAACTATTTCATCTATTTCCAGACGTATGTTGCAAGCGTTTTGATATGAATGTTGCATATGTTTTCACACATATGTTGCAACAGTATGTTGTCCAAAATATTTCATCTGTTTCAGTCTTTTTTTGCAGCAAGTGTTTTCATGTTGCAAGTTGCAAGTGTTCTATCTGGATGTTGCATATGTTTTCACATATATGTTGTAAGTGTATGTTCCAAATGTTTTACCTATTTCAGACGTATGTTGCAAGTATTTTATCTAGATGTTGCATATGTTGCAGTGCTCATACGCATATGTTGCAACCGTATGTTGTAAATGTTTTATCTATTTCGGACGTATGTTGCAGCAAATGCTTTACATTGCAAGTGTTTCATCAGCAGGCGTGGCTAGGGGGCGTAGGCAGAGGTGCCCCCTTGGCGCGTGCGGTCCCAGCGTCTTGATGGGAAATAGCCGGGCGTGATGTGAGCGTGGAGCGAAGTTGCATCCATGCTCGGCTGCTCTCTCTCTCTCTCTCTCTCTCTCTCTCCTTTTTCCAGATTGATGCGGCTGGTCAGCAGCAGCATGCGGGCAGCAGGAGTGCGCGGCCAGGCGTGGCCCGTCGCTGCTCCTCCTAATGGTAGCAGGCGGGATAATTTCTCCCCACAAGCGTGCACGGTCAAATCGGGACCTAGCGGCAGAGGCACGGGGAAAGAACACGTGCGGACGCATCAATCTACCAAAATTATAATAGTGGGCAGCAGGCGCGAGGCAGCAGCATCATGCGTCCCGTGGAGGCGGGGCTGCAGACGTGGGGTGTTCGGACTCGCTGCTGGCGCCGGACGTTCGGCCGCTCCGCTAAAGGAAGGATCAAACTCGAAGATCACGCTAGAATGTGGATTCTGCTTTTTTTCAATTGATCAGAATTTCATGACCAACTTCTCTGACATTAGCCTTTTCTTTAAAAAAAATAGTACGTGTGTGAGAATAAGTTAATAGAGGGTAGGGCTATAGGAGCGAAGTACTTAGCACATTGTGAAATGACGCAATTATCTGGTTGACGGAGACAACAATTTTTAATTTAAGCCAAAAGAATGAATGGACACGGAGCGCTAGTTTGACTAGCATGAGATCGATCATGCTAGCCATGAGTGGGAAATCATGGCAGCCACCCACCGGAATCATTGGAGGTCAGCTCAGCCCGGCGACAAGAATGCCCCGGCATATCCGGTGCGGTGTGATACTGTGATCATTGGATCGGAGTTGGGGAGCATACGGACACTACACAAAGCTTCGTGCATACGGAGTATATGGTGGTCAAACACTAGTGCTTCGTGTCCCTTCATTCTTTTGGCTTAATTAATTGGTGTCTCGGTGATCTGGTAATTGCGTAGTCATGCATTTCGCCGCCATGTGGTAAGTACTTTGCTCTCTATCTATCCATAAATAACGCCTTGTTTAGTTCAACTCCAACTTCTAAAAAGTTGCTACGGTACCTGTCACATCGAATGTTTGCAGCTCGTGCATGGAGCATTAAATGTAGACGAAAAGAAAAACCAATTGCACAGTTTGGTGGGAAATTGCGAGACGAACGTTTTGAGCCTAATTAGTCCATGTTTGAACACTATTTGCCAAATAAAAACGAACGTGCTACAGTAACCCCAAAATCTAAATTCCTATGACTAAACAAGGGCTAACTTATTGTCGCACACGTACCATTTTTTTTTTAAAAAATGGCGAATGTCAGGTACTAGTTGGAGCCCCAATTTGGTATGAATTTCTTAGAACGCACTGCGGATAGAAATTGGATTTGAATTTCTTAGAGCGCATTGCGCCAGCTCAATTGGTACAAGAACCCAAAAAAAAAAGGCAGAATCAGCATTCTAGCGTGTTCTTCGATCGAGTTTGATCCTTGGTGTAATCTCTTCAACATCGTTCGTTCTTCTCAAACAACTGGAAATAATCATTACTCAGACGCATCCGAACCATCATTTATTTGTTTCCAATCAGCTAGCACTGAAATGCACGCACGTACACGCCAAAGATTTGTCAGTTGTTGGACAGAATAATGTGAGCATAATAGCAAATGTGCTCGCGTCAACTTTAAGGGAGGGAAGTGTCGTCGCAGGCTCAATTATCAGGAAATCGTTAGTACAAAATAACACAACCGATGACCTATATCCATGCAACCTACGTTAATTAGGTGCATTTGCCACACTAGCAAACAGCATAAGGCATGATGCTGTTTGAATTATAGTAACATTGTCGCTTAACAACAAGTATGGGTCAAACAAGTATAGTAACATTGTCATGAATTATAGTAGACATACTCTCATTTATTTGCTTAATAGGCATACTTTGAATCTGTCTACTACATAACCATGTGTTTTATGCAGTTTCAACACATGAATTTCTTTTTGCACCATAGGATTAAGATCCAACAGCTTCCACCCTTCTTCTACCTTCAGCCTCTAGCCTTCTTCTACCTCTAGACAATCACAAATCACAAGATCACAGATTCACATATCACAAGAAACAATTTTTTCTATGGAAAGACAAATCACAGATTGCAGAGGAGGAGGAACGTGCCCCGGACGCGTTCGCGGCGGCCTACCTTACCAGCTCCCGCGGCGCTTCTGACGCCTTGGTGGTGGGGTGGAAGGCCCCGGCGAACGGGGTGAGCGTGACGTTCCTCGGCACGCCCGTGAGGAGGGCGGCGGCCTTGCCGACGTCGCCAGCGACACCGTCGGTGAGCTCGCCGCCCCGCATGGAGAAGAGGCACGGTGACGCGGATGACGATCGGCTGGCCTTGGGTGCCGCCGCGGTGCCGGTGGTGCTGGTGAGCTTGGGCGCGGCGGCGGCAGTTGCGGCAATCTTGGGCGTGGGCTTCGACTCGTTAGGCGGCATCAATGGCAACGCGATGGTCAACAACGATCAGAGGATCGCTCTCGCTCGGACGGTGTATGGCTGTTGTTCTCTATGCCAAAGCTCGCTGAGAAGAACAGAGCGGGTTCCGTGGCGTGATATATAGGTGCGGGAGCGGGGAGGACGAAGGTGGTGGGGCCCTTTTTTCATAGATACAAAAAAAAAATCTATGTGTTTTTTTTTTTTGCTAAAACACATGTGTGTTGTATAGCATTTCTGGAGCATAATAGCAAATGTGCTCGCATCAACTTTAAGGGAGGGAAGTGTCGTCGCAGGCTCAATTATCAGAAAATCGTTAGTACAAAATAACACAACCGATGACCTATATCCATGCAACCTACGTTAATTAGGTGCATTTGCCACACTAGCAAACAGCATAAGGCATGATGCTGTTTGAATTATAGTAACATTATCGCTTAACAACAAGTATGGGTCAAATCCAACCTAGCATTTGTCCCAGTTTGTTAGTATATTGACAGATGAGCGCAAGCATTTTTTTCCCCCACACTGGCTCTTTCTTCACTTGAAGAAGTCGAACTCTGTCACGCATATTTAAAAAAAATCCAAAGGAGAAAAGTATTGTTTGTAAATTGTATCTACGTCTACTATAAAAGAAGAAATGTTTTTTTAAAGCAATAGCATGAGCTCTGTCTTTCAATTATGATAGGTATTAAAAAAGATGTTTATGTACGAGCAGGGGTAACAAGCCCCCAAAGGCAAGATCGGAAGACAAAGTAAGTGAAACAACAGCCTTCTCAGCTTGTAGATCACCAGCTTGGGGGCGGCAGTAGTAGCAGGAGTTGACGTCAATTAAACATTTGTTCAAAAACTCATACATTGCTGAGGTTAGCTGACTCCTACATCTACTCAGCTGGAGCCTGGAGCCATTGCGTAGCAAAGACTTTTGGTTTGATAAAAAATTCAAAACGCGCGCGCACGACATAGATGGCCGGATGAGTCCATTAGTGTGGAAGTGGACCTGGACGGAAGACGCTGGGTGCAATGCAGCGCGGGCCCATATTCCTTTGGCCCGTGATTTGCGCCGTGAGGCTCTGCCGAATCAGCTGGGCAACGCGTGTCCTGCCGGCGCCAACCAGCAAGTGCCGCTCAGCTAGCGGCGGCGACCACAGTGGAGGCGCCACCGCGCGCCCGCGTGATGAGAGGACCACGATTCCACGAACCCATCTCCCAACCGGCCAAGTCCACTGCTGCGTAGCGTAGCTTTGCTTGAGGCTGATCATGCATGCTAGCTATGAGTGGGAAATCATGACAAGCACCCACCCACTGGAATTATTGGAGCTCAGCTCAGGCTCAGCCGAGCGACAAGAATGCTCCGACATATCCGGGTGCGGTGTGTGATCATTGGATCGGAGTTGGGGAACATGTAATCATGCATGCGGACAACGAGTGCACAAAGCGACACAGTGGAGGAGTTGGCCAGTTGGCCGGGTTCGTGCATGTTCGTCTCCAAGTGCGTGTGACTCCTCCTTGCAAATAACAAAAATAACACACCCCGCTCCTAGCCTTTGCATTGCATATATGCATGTACACAAGACAAGATCCTCACCACGTTAAATCTTTAATTACGACCTAAATCAACCCGGCCAACTATCTGCGCGACTCCCATGACGCCGGCGACGGCATCGTCGACGCCGTCCTGGCCGTCGCAGTGCCCGACGAAGCAGTGGTCGCCGACGACAGGCGCGGCGTGCCGACCTGTTTGATGGCCACGTTCCGAAGCGGGCTGCGCCTCCGCCGCTCCTGCTCCTTGACCAGCTCCGCGGCCATCGCGTCCACCTTCTCGGCGTTGGTCCGCTCCGACAGCCTCCGCCCCCGGAACAGCACCGACTCCACGTTCCGCTGCGCAAGCATCGCTCCCGCTGCCGCGGATGCGGTGGCCGCGTGGAGCGGCGCCGGCGCCTTGCCGGCCTGGATGCGCACGTAGTTGCTTCCGCACGCGAGCCCGAACGCCATGGCCACTGACTCGTCCACCATGTCCGCGACGCCCTCGGCGGTTACGCGCGCCAGCTCCCGCGGCGACGGAGAACGCGTGGGCATGGGCGTGCTCGACCCGTCGCACACGGGCACGGTGGCCGAGGAGGCACCGGCGCCGATGGAGAGCACGAGGAGGTCTTCGACGCCGGTGGCGAGGGGGAACTCCTGCTTATTGTGGAGCACGTGGGTGATGGCGGCCGCGGCGGGGTTACCCATGGCCGCCACTCCCCCGGACGCCCCGGAGATGGCCGTGGCACCGTCGACCGACCTCACGCTCGCGAGCGCGCCGCCCGCGGCGCAGGTGGCGGCACACACGTCGCGGAGGCGGAAGTCGAAGCTATCGCTCTCGACGGCGTCGGCGCGCGAGAACACGAACGGCGCGGCCGTGCCGAGGTCGTAGCACGGCACGAGGAGCGGCGCCACGGTGTCCCTGAGCGTGGCGTCCCCGAACACGCGGCGGAGCATGCGGTCGCCGCCGCCGCGAGAGCCGCGGAAGAGCTTCGCCAACCCACCGCGCCGGCTCCGGCCGCACCAGTCCTTCCTCCCGACGATGCCGGCGACGAACGCGAGCGCCTCCTGGGCCGAGTACCGCGGGCGGCCGTCGGCGCCCCTGAGGAGCAGCATCGCGGCGAGGACGCCGCCTGCGCCGGCGCCCGCGGCCACGTCGAAGAAGTCCGCGACGCGCGCGTCGGGGTCCCCCGTGCAGTCGCGCAGCTTGGCCTCGAGCCTCGCGAGCGCCGCGGCGGCCAGGAGCGCGTCCTCGGCGCCCGCGCCGCAGCCGTCGATGGCGAGCACCCGCACGCGGCCGCCACCGTCGAGGAGCGCCCGCGCTGGCCTCCCGGGGCCGGACGGGCACCACCCGCCGATGAGGAACTCGCTCTCGAGCAGGGAGAAGAGCTGGTGGCTGAGCTTGTCCACGCACGTGGGTGGCGACGCCGTTGCCGCGTAGGTCTCCATCGATGGTCCAGGAGCAGGCGGCACGAGGAGAGAGCTTGTGTAGCGTAGCTAGAGATTGGTTGGAGCTCGTGAGTGGTGAATGCGAGTGAGTGAGAGAGACTGCGATGCTCAAAGCCGATGAGTCCCCAGTCTGCTCCAACGCGACTCTTTTATAGGGGCTACTGGCTGGCGCAGGTTAGCAGCGGGCGCCGCAAACGTGGCTGCGGCGGTGCGGCCGTACAGCTAGCGTACGGACGTATCATGGCCGTCGGAGCTGTGATCGACGAAAACCGGAAGCATCCGCCACTTTGCCGGTGATGAACTGATGCCAGGAAGTTTCCTGTCCGAACTCCGAAGTGGCCCGGTGCCTAGATGGGGACACCGGTCATCGACGGAGTCGACCGAAGTGCGGGACCATCTTGTCAGTGCGCGGTGGCGCAGGGTCACCGATGCCGCCGGGAATTCGGGGTGGTGTCTGGTGTCCCGGGATGGGGAGACGACGACGGCTCGACGCCCTGCCCTGCGCCTGCTGCGTTATCCCATCCCGCGTGCGGACTGTCAGCTCATGCCGTCGGTGTTGGATTTGGATCTGGAGCTCCACTGTGCATGCGTTTTACACACGTGACGAATTAAATACAGTAGCAAAGTAAGTGGTTCTAGGAGTGGTGTAGAGAGAGTGCGTTCTATGCTATATGCTATGCAGAGGATGATGTAGAGTCACACTCATGCATGGTGGTTATGCGCTCTTTCCACGGGCGCACCGTTCGGATATGTTTTCCTCCTTTGTTGTCATTGCCAGTTGCTACCTTCTAGCCTACTAGTACTCGTCATCCGTAGCACTGGCCAGATAAACGGCATGATAAAGATTAAGAGATGGTACAGTCGTACATGTGAGATGAGGTGTTTTGTCGTAGCGGCTGTTACACGGCCAGCGGTACACAAGCGGCATACATTACCACTTCTGTGTCTGTGTCGCATAGTTACAACCACCGGTAAGGAAAACCGCGGTGGGAACGAAGGTTACGATGCCCTAACCAGGATACGAGGCTTTGATCCATGTTCAGGCTGTCGATCCAGGCACCGTTCGGTTAGCCCATTGGAGGCCTTTTTTGGCCGGAACCCTTCCCATGTTATTTAAATTATGATTTCTAAAGAAAACGACACCAGGAATGGTTCCCCAACAAAACGAACTGAGGCCTTAGTCATTTAGCATTAACTTTTTTTTTTTGAGAATTCATTTAGCGTTACCTTGTGTGTTTTGCTAGCCTAAGGAATTAACTTAATCTAGTATCCAAGATGCTTAATCACGCATCTTAACGGGAATGCTGAGGGCGTGCGCACATACATCAGGAGACCATGCATGGGCAGTACGCGTGGTATATACCATGTAATGTTTGTAATTCTGAATTATCATTTCCTTGGGATAAGGTAGCACCATCAGACAGCAAAACCGTTGGCATGAATTATATATGTGCCGTGCCTGTACGTGGCTTGCAGCCGGCACAGCATCGAGTTGTTGCCGCGCGGTTGTGTGCAGCGTCGAGTTAGCTGGTGTGCATGCATGCTTCCGATCCGTCCCAGATTCCACGCACAGCTGGAGGCGCAGGCACCTAGCTAGCACCGCAGCGACCCATGGTTTGACTAAGACGCGCGCACGGGTCACGGTCACGGGTGGGTGGTGACGAGCGGAGAACGGGCGTGGTGCCTTGGGCCACGCACGCACGCACGAATGGCGCCGCGACGACGTGCAACGAATTGGGAACCTTGTTCGGCCCCGGCGAACGCGTGTCCTACTCCTGCCGGAGAACGCCGGCCGGCGCGCCAAGCTAGCAGCACATGCACACAGCTCTACAACACCTACCACCGGTACCCACCAGTTCGTCGGCACTTGAACGCGCCACATGGCATCTCGTTTGCATATTTTGGGCGCACTTCGCAGCTTCGCGCTACGTGCGTGCGTGCAGCCGTGCACCCTGTTCTGTCACTCTGCAGCCGCGCACGCATGTTTGATGTTCCCTAACTACTCCCACCCGACCTAATCATACGGTGAT